CATTGAGAACAGCTCTTAGGAGCTCCGTGAGAATCTGCAAGGAAGTCTGGAGGAGCTTATATGACCTGCGAGTTTGTGTTGACGGCCTTAGAACCTTAGCCAGTGCCGACACAGTTCGCGGCATGATGCTGGCAAGCACCACGCGGTCCGTGACTCGAGCATAAAGTGCTTGCAAAGCCCTGGCGGCTGCCAGACAGAGCTCATCTGATCTATCATCGACAATCCCCTCAAGCAGAATATATACGGTTTGATCAACAACCGTTGCCGTGCCGATCTCGTGATAAATTGTCCGTTCTGGCACAGCTCCTTCCAAGACTGTGAAGATAGCACTGAGGCAGTCAAATCCAGCAATACACAGTTCTTCTGAGACTTTGGGCTTCGGTAGCTGCTTCTCTTCCGCTTTATTTGGTGATCCCCCCACGATCAACGTCAACAGGATTATGAGTTGCTTGCCCATTGCAGGAGACAGCCGTTGCCGCCATCCATTGGCGACCAGGATCCGCAAACATTGGACGGCGGACTCCAGGCATTGTGCGGGTAGTCGTTGCGTCTCATTGAAGATGTGCGACAATGGAAAGAATGCATATTCAGCTAGCTTCTCGTCGAGAGTGTTGTTCGCCGCAAGTTCCTTTAAACAGTTGTGCACCGGCTCAAGGACTCGAGATACATCGGCGGCGGAAGCTTGATTTCCTCGGAAACGAAGGCCAACAGCGCTTAGTTCGATGCATGGTGCTCGAAGCTATTCACATGTCAGCTTTCTTCCTCCTAAGGGCCAAATGAATCATATCATACCTGCTTGAAAGATTCCTGCCGGAGGTTGTCCATCGCAGCTGAACAACGCTGGGCAGCGTCAGACTTTCAAGATGATAGGCTGAGTGTTGAGCGAGTAGCAGGACTAGATTGTTCAAACATCAAGAGCCCCATTGTAAACACCGACTAGCGGACCCATCGCGATCGAATACAGCGGGACTGCATCCCAAAACCGCACCGCTCTGTCACCATCTGCCGGCATAATCAAGCGGTGAATATAATCTATCCCAAACGGGCAAGATCACACTGCACGTGATATATTAGCGCGTCTCAACGCGTGGGAATCCCGACAGCTGCCTGCGACAAAGAGTAACAACGAGTGTTGCCTTGGGTATTTCAATTGCGGATTTGGTCTGCTTGGACTATATATTGGGCCATATTCCGTGCCCATTTGACTCCGGGACAATTGCCTATGCGGGTTTTGCGGATTCCAGAGCTTGCGCTTTTATCGCTCTCGCGCTCGAGACCAAGCTTCTGCATACGATCTGCAGGACAACACAATTTCTTGACCACCCCAATCTCGAAGCTGTCTACAAGCTTGCTATCTGCCAGCCTTGCAGCCCAGAAAAATTCCAATTTAAACAAAATAACATTCTCACCATCGCGAATCATGGCTGATGATAAGAGCAGGAAACAGGCTACCCTGGGGTATGTACGGGATGGACAGCAGACGATTGGGTGCGTCGACAATATTCGATGGCGCATGCGCCCTTTCACTCTGGCCTTCATCGGCGATTGTTTTGGTTCACTCCGCTAATTCATCTTATTCATTGTAGGAGATTTTTCGGCTCGGGCGCGAACCAACCGCCGAAGAAGCAAACCACATTAGCTTTCGGTGGAAGAAGACAAGCAGCAAGCAATGAAGCTCCCGGTGTGGAGGCCAAGAGTACCACCGACGAAGTTAAGGTGGAAGACGCCACCGACTCAGCACCAACTGCTGCCCTCAATGGAGCAGAGCCAACGAAGGGTGTAAAGCGGGAGAAGAGCGCCGAGACGGAAGAAAGCGATGGTTCCGATATTCAGCCTGTCTCTAAGAGGCGACGAAAGGCCTCGGCGAAGGCCTCTCCAGCTGCCAAGAAGCAATCGGCATCCCCGAAGAAGCCCGAGTCTACAAAGCCAAAGGCTGAATCGCCATCACCAAAGCCAGTGACGAAAAAGCCTGCCGATGTTACTCCTGAAGAGAAGTCACCGTCAGTGGAAGAAGAGGAGGACCCATTAGAAAGCGAAGACGAAGATGACCTCAAGCCGGAGCTCACGAAGAAATCAATCGAAAAATTCCAAGCCAAATTGAAAGGCAGTGGTAAAGATCCATACCCAGATTGGAAAGCAGGCGCTCCTGTTCCTTATGCTGCGTTATGTACCACGTTTTCTCTGGTAGAGATGACTAGAAAGCGCTTGGAAATCACAGACCACTGTTCTCTTTTCCTCCGCCAGGTTCTTCGCCTGACCCCTGCCGATTTCCTACCCACTGTTCAGCTGATGATCAATAAACTGGCCGCCGATTATGCCGGAATTGAACTGGGCATCGGAGAGTCACTGATCATGAAAGCTATTGGTGAATGTACCGGCCGCAGCCTTGCCGTCATCAAAGCCGATCAACGGGAAATTGGAGACCTGGGACTGGTTGCTGCCAAAAGTCGGTCAAACCAGCCTACGATGTTCAAGCCCAAGCCTTTGACTGTTCGAGGTGTACATGAAGGCCTGCTTGGAATTGCCAAGGTTCAGGGTCATGGATCTCAGGACAAAAAGATTTCAGGCATCAAGAAACTGTTGGCTGCGGCTGATGCCGACCTCGTTGGCAAAGGTGTGGATATCACCGAGAACAAGGGCGGACCCAGCGAAGCGAAATTCATCGTTCGTTTTTTGGAAGGTAAGCTGAGGCTGGGACTTGCAGAGAAGACAGTTCTTGTCGCGGTTTCTCGGGCAGTCCAGATCCACGAGGCTGAGTCAACCGGCAATAATATCCCCTCTGCAGAGCAAATGGCCGAAGGTGAAAACATCTTCAAGACTGTCTACAGCGAGCTTCCTGCCTACGAAGTAATCATTCCTGCCGTTCTTGAGCATGGTCTCCTCAAGCTGCCCGAAGTGTGCAAGCTCTCTCCCGGAATTCCTATCAAGCCCATGCTTGCCAAACCAACCAAGTCTATAACCGAGGTTCTTGACCGGTTCGAAGGGAAGGAATTTACTTGCGAATATAAATACGATGGAGAAAGAGCACAGATCCATTTTGTGTCTCCGGAATCTATCCACCAGTATCCTGGAGCCTTAGCCACATTACAAAAGGACAGCAAGGGACTCTCCTCAATCTTCTCCCGCAACTCGGAAGATCTTTCGAAGAAGTATCCTGATGTTCTCGGCAAGCTTGACACGTGGGTCAAATCTGACGTTAAGAGCTTCGTTCTTGATTGTGAGACTGTCGCATGGGATATGGAGGCCAAAAAGGTTCTTCCATTCCAACAACTGATGACTCGTAAGCGCAAGGACGTCAAAGCGGAAGATGTCAAAGTCAAGGTCTGCGTGTACGCCTTCGATCTGCTTTTCTTTAATGGAGAGGTAAGGCAATTTTTCTCTTTAATATCTACATAGGAGCGATTCGCTATGTCACTCTTCTTCCTCTATTCTCCTTCCCCCTGATTCTGTGTTCCTGCCCATTCATGGCGAGGATGATGAGAAGAAAAGGGGCACAGCGAATCGCTTTCAGCAATACCTAGTTGTTCTCACTAACTTTTAAACAGCCCTGCGTGAAGAAATCTCTACGAGAACGGCGAGAGCTTATGCATCAATGCTTCCAACCGGTTGAGGGGGAGTTCCAGTTTGCCCAATATGGCAACTCCAATGTCCTCGATGAGATCCAAGAATTGCTTGAGGCTAGTGTTAAGGCTTCTTGTGAGGGTCTTATGGTGAAGATGTTGGACACAGCGGAGAGTGGCTACGAGCCAAGTAAACGGAGTCGCAACTGGCTGAAGGTATGGTGCCTCTGTTTGTTGATTACTACAACTGTTGCTAACTTTTACACAGGTCAAAAAAGATTACCTCGCCGGAGTTGGTGACTCTCTTGATCTTGTCGTGCTCGGTGCCTACTATGGTCGTGGAAAACGTACTTCTGTTTATGGTGCCTTCCTTCTCGCTGCCTACAACCCCAGCAGCGACACATATGAGACCATATGTAACATCGGCACTGGCTTCTCCGAGGTGCTACTTGAAGAGCTACACCAGACACTAGTTCCTTTAGTAATTGACCGCCCAAAGCCATTTTACACTCACTCGGCCGTCCCCAAGGACCAACCGGATGTTTGGTTTGAGCCAAGACTTGTGTGGGAAGTGAAAACAGCCGACCTGACCCTCAGTCCACGCTACCAAGCCGCTGCTGATGAGTTCCAAGGAAAGGGAGTATCTCTACGTTTCCCGCGGTATATGAAATCCCGCGACGATAAGAAACCAGACGAGGCTACTACCACCCGTGCTGTGGCGGAGATGTATCGGAAACAAGAAGCAGTCACCAAGGATACCAAGGCAGGTGTGGATGATGACTTTGAGTATTGAAGCGATTTTGTCAGGCGAACTATAGCGAGTGTAATTGAATTCATTGGATACTAATATTCCCGCGTCTCCCAGTCATATGCATTTTCTAAATTGCACCACTATTCAGATGGGGTACATCATTAGGGCTTACCATGGTGCCACTGTAGCCTTCCTTTGCCTCTATATGATATCAGGGATGATGACCCATAGGCACCACTTGATTCATTTACTTTTGATCTAACCGTCCCTTTTAAGACAAAGCCCCTGTTGATCGGCATCTAATATCATGACCTTATTCCATAATCCCGGCTATCAACGGGTTATCAGCGGACTCCGGGGGCTCGGGATGCTTGGCGCTGCAACCAAGCTGCCGGACCCTGCTTGGCCCCTACGTCGGCCCCGCGTCCCGCCTTTCTTTGTTGACATCACGTCTTGCTAGTGTCTTGGAAACGGCCTACAGTAGGAAATAACATCATGCGTATCTTTCTTGGCACCGCGGAATGTAACATGCCCCCCTTCGACGGCAAATTGCCCTCTCCGCCATGGCTACTAGCTCACTGGGCGTGCGGAGTCGCAACACTTATATTTCAGTGTCGGCTCGGCATGCAGCCCGTCTTGTACTCTGTACGTTACTCTTGAGCTGTGTGGGTACATACTTGGTTGTCGATATGCGTGTGTTTCAATTGACGATGGCCCTTGGGTCGATCGTCGTTTCTGCAGTAGCTCTTACTCCCGAGTCAGTGCTGATCTTCCAAACCGCTTGTTTCATTGTGCTTCTTGGCTGGTTGCTGACTTTCTTTGTAGACAACTTATCGCGGCTCCGAGACGGAGTGACGCTGTTCCTAATCCATCTGGAGTGAGTAGCGCTATTGTATGGAGATATCGATCAATGTTATTAACCTGACATAGGAAGTTGCATTCTTTTCCACCTCTGAATACTCCTTTAAGACTCATAAAACATCATCATGGTGGAGTCTGTTGGATTTGGAGACTGGCAAAGTGACTAAACTTACCGATGACAGCAATGTCTCCGAATTGGCTTGGCTGGGGTCTACTGACTCGGGTCTGTTGTATATCAACGGCACTAATTCTGAGATTCCTGGAGGTACTGAGATCTGGGTTTCAGATACCTCTAATTTCGCCAATTCGTAAGTTTACCTGCATATTTGGATAAAACAGTCCTAACTTCTGTGCAGTGCCTACAAGGCAGCTTCACTGCCGGCGCCACTTTCTGGCCTCAAGACGGCCATCACCAAGTCTGGAGACATTAACTTCTTGGTGTATGGAGAGTCCTACCCAAATGGAACGGCATACAATGCAGAGCTTGCCACCACTCCCCTGAGCTCGGCACGTATTTACGATAGTATTTACGTCCGCCACTGGGATACCTGGCTCACAACGAGATTCAATGCTATCTTCTCGGGAACTCTGAAGAAGAAGAGAGCCGGACATGGAGCGACATCCCGCTACACTTCTAGTGGATCTCTCAAGAATCTTGTCGCAGGAGTCAAGAACCTCGAGTCACCCTACCCGCCATTCGGCGATTCATCTGACTATGACCTCTCCTCCAACGGAAAATTGGTTGCATTCAAGAGCAAGGCGCCTGAATTGCCACGTGCAAACAACACTGCTTCATACATTTACGTTGTTCCCCATGATGGATCCAAGAAGGCTGTGGCTATCAATGGCCCAGACAGTCCTGGCACACCGAAAGATATCAAGGGTGATTCGAGCAGTCCTGTCTTTTCCCCAGATGGCCGTCGCCTTGCATACCTCCAGATGAAAGACATCTCTTACGAGTCAGACCGTCGTGTTGTCTACGTTCACACCATTGACTCGAAGGATACTATTCGTACCTTGGCCAAAAACTGGGACCGGTCACCTGGTGCTATCAAGTGGACTGCTGACGGGAAAAACCTTGTTCTGAACACCGAGGATTCGGCACGTTCTCGACTCTTCTTGCTCCCTGCCAATGCTGGTAATGATTTCAAGCCTAAGAACTTCACCGACAGTGGCTCGGTGGCTACTTACTACGGCCTGCCTAACGGAGACTACTTGGTTTCTAGCTCTGCTATCCACACTAGTCGCACGGTTTACACCGCGAAACCTGGCAAGGGTGTCACAAACGTTATCTTCTCTGCCAACGATGTTGACCCCGCCTTGAAGAGCCTTGGCCCATCGGACGTTGATGAATTCTACTATAAGGGCAACTGGACAGATGTAAGTCTATCGTTTTCCCGCGGAACTGAAGAGACGTTAACGTTATAGATTCATTCCTGGATTGTTTACCCCTCGAACTTTGACAAGTCAAAGTCGTACCCGCTCATGTTCTTGATTCACGGTGGTCCTCAGGGCTCCTGGGCTGACTCCTGGAGCAGCCGTTGGAACCCCAAGGTCTTTGCCGATCAAGGATATGTGGTTGTCGCATCCAACCCGACTGGTAGCACTGGATTTGGTGATAAACTCACGGACGAGATTGCGAACAATTGGGGTATGTCATTCCTGCCACTCGTTCCCATTCTTACCTTCTAACGATCCACAGGAAGCTATCCTTACGATGACTTGGTTAAATGCTTTGAGTATGTCCGGGATAACTTTGACTTTGTTGATACCGATCGCAGCGTGGCAGCTGGCGCCAGCTACGGTGGCTTCATGATCAACTGGATCCAGGGTAATCCTCTGGGCCGCGAGTTCAAAGCGCTGGCCAGTCACGATGGCACATTTGTAGCCGATGCAAAGGTCTCAACTGAGGAACTGTGGTTCATGGAGCATGAGGTATGTATCTTGGTGGTATTTTCTCGATTCGTATACTAATTCTTCCAAAGTTCAACGGCACGTTCTGGGACAACCGAGACAACTATCGCCGGTGGGACCCATCGGCTCCAGAGCACATTAAGCAGTTCTCTACCCCACAGCTCCTCATTCACAGTGATTTGGATTATCGCCTTCCCATCTCTGAGGGTTTGGCGCTTTTCAATGTCTTGCAAGAACTAGGTGTTCCAAGCCGTCTGCTCAACTTCCCCGATGAAAATCATTGGTAAGCACACTTACTGCTTTTGAATGGGAATGAATCATCAAAGAGTCAATCAAGCTAACTCAATACCATTAAAACAGGGTCATCAACAAGGAAAACAGTCTCGTCTGGCACCAACAGGTCTTGGGATGGCTCAATAAGTACGCTGGCATTGACACCCCTGGCTCTGTCAGTTTGGATGATACTACAGTTCCTGTTGTGGATTACAATCCTCAATTCTAGGGCTAGTTTCGCTGCAAATGGGCGTCTGCCTGTCATGTCTCAGACAGGTTGTTTCAGGAGGTTTGTTTCATGGTAAATATCTCTTTCTTCATGGTTTCTACGCTGTGTCCAATTTCTATACATGAACAATGGAATCATCACGATGTAGAGACCTTTTTCTTGTGTATTTTATGTCATATAGCTACGCTGTCTCATGGAATCTGGCGGTCGCATATAAAGAGTTTCCGGTTGCCTACAAACGTTTTCCAGCAAACGCAACGCATCAATCTCCTTCCCACATTCTCTTTCTCCCCTTAAATTTTGTCTTCTCTGCCATCTCTCAGTTTCATCAACTTCTTCATCGCCATCATGCCCAACAAGCCTTCCTCTCATAGGGGTGCCAAGAAAGGTATGTTGCATGCTTTATCCCCTCATCCATCATCTTCGCCCATCAGAAAGAAGCAAAAAGGTATACACTCAGCCATCCAAAAACAAGTTAACAACAGCTCCCCAGGAACCCCCAAGGTGGAGCCCTCTACCCCAAGTAAGTATTGGAATCAATCAACAGAGCCTCAACGGGCTTTCCTCCATCGCCCTACACAATATACAGGTTCTAACCATGCCTCTGGTGCAGATATCAAATCTGAGATGTCTTCCCCCACTCCCGCTCCTGTCGCCAATGATGAGAAGGAGAGTGAGTACAGTATTGACTTGACTCCTGTCCCATACCCAGTCCCATTCCCATGCACCGAGGATGATCTTACCTTATGCCACGCTCCCACTTCTGAGCCCACCGGCTACCCTATCTTTGTTTCCCGAAATGGACGCTGGGACTGGTATTATCTTGCCTCTAACAACAAGACTACAGAGTCTTCCGCTACCCCCGCCAACGATACGGCCAACGGAAATGCCAAGAGCACAAAGAGTGAGTTTGCCGATGATCTCAGTCTTTCTCCGAACCAATTTCCCTGCACTGAGGACGACATGACCTTGTCTCCCTGTCCCCATCCTGGTTCCAATCCAACCGACAATCCCACCTTCTCTTCTCAAAACGGACGTTGGGAATGGATGTTTCTCCCCTCTAACACGGATACAGAGTCTTCCCCTCCCAAGGTCAAGATGGAGGACATCCCCAAGGCCAATCCAAGGGTGCAGCGACCAAGCAACCCCGTCTCTGCCACCTTCTCTGCCGCCGACCTGGACCGCTTCGTCTTCCCATACGGCGTCCCCGACAGCGACGATGATATCTCCACTGTGCCCTCGCTGGTTGAAAACATCGCCGAGCAAGCCAGAACCGCGAAGCATGTGAGATTCTTCATGAACACTTCCCACGACAAGCACTTCATCCCCATCGAAGTCACCCCTCTCACTGGCAACGAGAACTGGCAGCCTTGGTTGGCCGCCATGCGCCTGCTCTTCCGTCAGCACTCGGTGTGGCCTATTGTGACTGCTGAGCTTCAGCCACTAACCCCTGGTCACAACCTGTACCTGTGGTACCAGCGCATGCGCGACTGTGCAATTGGTCTTATCTACGCCAACGTCTCTGAAGAGGTCCGCAAGTCCCCTTGCTTCATGATCACCGCGCGCGAAGATGATCCTGATGTTTTAATGTCTCATCTGTACGCTCACTATTCTTCGCCTGATTCGGATCACGTTCATGAGGAGGATGAGCTTGATTAGATGGATTGCGCTTGGGGTTTAACAAGTGCGTTTTGTGTGGAGTGCACATTGCAACATGTCCCAGGTTTCCCAGGTTTCCCTGATCTGTTTGGTGTGATTTTTCCCGTCTCACCCGGACCGGACCTTTTGATATCTGATCTTTGATGCTCTTTTATTTCCATGTAGTATGCAGCTACTAGCTCCTTTCTCTTCAATCTCAACAACTTGCGTATTCTTATCCATTCTTACATCTATAGTTCAGCGTTTTTCTACTCGAGCAATTCACTGGCTGTCTACTAATATATTTCCTGTCTTAGCGCCGCGTAGTCATATGGTGAAGCCAAGGACGTGTGCGTTTTCAGTTATTACTTGATAGGAATGGTTTCATGGCTTTCGAAAGTAGCATAAATTTCACCAATTTGATGGAAGGCCGGTTATAATGGTCCCGTCATCTAATTTTATCGAGTTTACTGTTGTTGATTGATATCTCACTCTTATAGTTATAGTGGTTAAATAGTGCTAAAAATTAACACCTCACAACAAGACCCCAAAACACGATCTAGAGCCCATTCAAATTCTTCTGCGCCGTAATAACATCCCCCTTATCCACAAAGTCCGCCAGCACCACATTCGGCGCACGCCCATACAGTCCAGCACATAGCGCCGCCTGAGCGCCAATACTACCACGCCCAGTCGCAGCATTTGTAGTACCTGCCTGGTGTCGAGCTGGAATCTTTATGCCGAAAACATCGACATCAAGGAAGTGGTTGACAATGCCCATACGGCCTGTAGCGGCGGCGCCAGAGGGCCGGTCGATACTACAGTTCGAGAAAGTGGCGTCTGTTACGTCGTAGGCTGTCTCAAAATAGTAGGCAAACTCGTCTTGGATGTAGTTCACCTTTTTAGTGTCGGCACCATAGTCTGGAAATTGTCAGTTTCAAGGTATAGGTCTTTGTGACAGCTGCTTTTACCCAGGAATACGACCAATCTCTTTCCGCTGGAGATCATATCACCCAGTGTGGGCCAGTCTGCAATTGGTAGCGGATTCGCGGAGGGAACGTAGGCATAGTTGAAAATCCCGCTGCTGGAGAAAGTATCTCCGAACTCATTGATTGATACGGAGTCTCCGTTTGTCAAGAGGAGAGTGACGACTTCGTTCGGGTTTGCATCCAGCCAATCTTTGATAGTCGTCAAGAATGATTTGAGAGGTCCAGCATCTTCGAGGAGACATGATGTATGGCACAGCTCTATGACGTTCCTGTCAATAATAGAGTGATGTGTTTGAGCTTGTAGGTACCGGATTCCCATATCGAGTTGGGCTTTTATATCGATGTTTTGGTTCTGCTGAGGTAGGGGTCCGACGAAGGGGGAGTCATGAGCGCCTATGAATGTGATATTTGAGTAGGATCGGGTGCAATATTCTGAGCGGCCATTGCAGGTTGCGGCTAGGGTTGATATCGAGGGAGTGGTTGAGGATATAGAGACTGAGGACTGAGATGCTCGCTGTACTAGTGTTCCTTGTCCTGACACTGCGAGCACAGGCTGTAGGAGTAAGAGAGCACTCAGCATTGCATGTGTCAGTCGCTGGTAGATTTGAGGCATCTTATTCTGAGTCGCTTTAGGCTATACTTGGTTCTGAGCGGGAAGGCGCAAATGGGCGCTTCTTCCCCTTTTATGCTCCAAGACTTCATTCTTGTTCTTGTACATATCGTGATAAATATCTGCTGTCCCCGGTCACGCAGTAGCAGCAGCTGGTCCCCGCAAGAGTAATATCAGCTGCCCGCGTGGGGGTGATATGCTCATGTCGGTTCCTACATTCCACATGTCGATCGATGACCAAATTAGAACCCTAAACCAAATGATATTATAAGTGATCATATATGGTCATCACATTGAGTGTGAGATATAGCACTGGTGAGTTATATCCATAATGATGGAACATTATGATGACTAGAATATGCTAGTGTCCTCGTGACCGCAACCACACACCAATAGCAGGTCTCATCGATGCTCACCATCATTCCTTTTGAGTGTGCCCCAGATAATTTGATATTAGAGAAACTCCTCTGTCTATGCAAATAATTTGACATAGGTGAGGTTCAGTGTTGCATCAGGTCTCCCTGGTACTAGCCTGTGTGGGGAACGATTCGGGAGGGCCGAAATTTTTTGGAATCAAACATCAATGGTCTGTCCTTTTCTAGTGCGATAGACTTCAGTGCTGCCACGGGACATCATGAGAAGGGTTCATCCCGTTCAGTCCCCAATATACACGTTTCGATTTACTGCTTAGAGTCAGTTACAGTCATGCTTCATGCACATGGATGATCGCTGCTTGAATTAGACTAGACTCGTTGCATGATTGATACAATTGGAACCTAGATATATGGAGATGATATCGGATCTTATAATCATTAATATAGTCCAGTGATCGGTAGTTTATATAATGCGATGGATGATATCCTTACATTATTTTGCACATCTTCACAAGTACACTGCCCCGTCACATGCGAGATTACTTAATTTATGGACCCCTCCAGGACTCGGGATACCTTGTAATCATGATATTGAGTCCCTCCAATTTCTCATCTTTATTCTTACTAGGCCTCTTACATACGTAAGATTTCTGTAAAGGTCTTCCCGATGTCGGATTCAAGGCTATTAGGCTATAACAAGTGCTAAATTACAGGCAGGAACTCCCTTTGAAGCCTGAGATGTTCATTGGTAAGCCGAATCAAGATCCATGCCTTTTAAAGTTATTTAGTCTTATGCCGTGTGTCTGTTCAGGTCCTTCATATTGGATTACTACGTTGACACCGCTTGTTGACAATTGAGGCCATTCGAAGTGATGTTACAAAAAATCAGGTATTATCTTCATGTAGTACCCTCCATGGAGTACCAACTGGGCAATTTAAGTTAATTGTAATATAAGTGATCTCATCATACAGGCTAGTCGGTGGCAATGCTACGAGATCATGGACTATGATTCAGTATTCTGATAAATAATATCCTGTTCATCGACCTCGGGGTCACACAAAAAGGGTACTATCATTCCCTTGTAGATATACCTGCATGGGAAGTGTAGCACGGAGTATAGATCAGGCCTCAACAAATGTTGCGAGTTATCATGATCAGACCAAACTTGAGTCTTTGAAAACTATTTAAGTGCTAGATTGAGATCTCACATTCTTTTTATCATTGTGCTTTATCATTACAATTTGAAAGGACCTCAAATTTCGTGTATTTGAATTCCGCAAACATGTTTCAACCCTACAACCTTACTTCATTGGACCATTTTTTGCCTCCAGTGCACCTTAATCTATCTCTTGCATTTAGTTTGACTGACAAAGATCGTGTACAGGCGCTCCAGCGAATGGAGGATGCAATGGCTCGTGTGCTCTCCAAATTCCCCTTCCTGGCTGGGATGGTGGTACCATCTACCCAGCGCAATGGTAGAAGAAACGCACTTCAGGTGCGGCCTGCTACTGCTGCTGAGCTTGAAGAGTGCCATATTCTGGTCACTCAACATCATATAGAGTCCACTGCTCTCACTGTGGACGGGAAATTCAACACTGCCTTGACGCCATTCCAAATCGTCTCCCCTCCACCTAACCCTTCTCCTGTATTACGGTTGAAGGCCAATGTGATAGGGAACGAGTTGCATCTAGCTCTGTGCCTTGATCACCGTGTAATGGATGGGTCAGGGGCTTTTGCATTTATCTCTACTTTGGGCGCGTACTGTCGTGATCTAAATGCTCCCGGGTCATTCACAACGTCACTTGCACAAGAGGAAACAAGGAAGCATATCGAAGAAATTGCATCTACAGCCACACCGCAGGATCTTCCATGGACGAAATTTCCTCCACAAACAAGCGAAGATGAAGTACCCCCAGATTCTAACCAAGTGCCCATCAGTATTCCTCATGTACTCGATGGCCGAAAGATAAAAATGCTGCACGACGCCTGCAATTCGGTTTTGCAGTCTCTTCATGAGAAATACAAGAAGGATCTTCCGGAGATGTCCCTTTCGCCGAATCTGGTCGTCACCGCACTAGTGAGCATATGTAGCAGTCGAGCCCGCTCGAAAGCTTTCCCCGATAAGCCGGAACTCTCATCCACGATGTTCGTCGTGGAAAATCTCCGAAAGGCACTCAATTTACGTCGGGGATATATGGGCAATGTCATCGTGGCAAACCAAAGCCCGTGTGATGGCTCTGCGCATCCTCCGCCTGAAGCCTTGCAAAATATTCATGTACCAGAGCCTCTCAGTCCAGTAGGGCCGGAAGATATATGGCGTATCTGCAACGTTGTCCAGACTCTTCAGGAAGCATCCGGACGCATGGACAAGCAGTATGCGGAGGGCATGATCGCAACAATGTTCCGCGAGTGTGATTGGGCTTCGTTCCGACCTGGGTGGGGAGTAGATCTTCTTGTATCTGATATCAAGTCAGCAAAGCCTTTTGCGAACTTTGGGCCACTTGGAGACCTTCAGTCATTCGACGTGCGTTTCGATGCATTTCCTGGCATTTGCTGGATAATGCCTAACCCTCCGTCTGATTCTACATCGCCAGATCCATGCTGGAGATTGCGATGGGTTTTGGAACGGGCGGCGATGGAGTGTCTATCGAGCGATCCCCTCTTCCACTGGGCTTCAGTCTAGTACAGCCCTCAGAGATGGCAAAGTCTAACCCAGATGAGCTGGTATTTTTTGCTAGCTACATATATCAGTTAGTTTTTGACGAACCCCAACCGTACTACGATATAGGGCTAGTTTCGATCTTTCGGATTTCGATGAATATATACTCTCGAGAGAACTACACATAACTGCTTTATGTCCATATGATCAGCACAGATATGTTTTGTAGTCTTTGTAGCTTATGTACAAAAGCTACCTACCAAACTCGTATATACATCTACCTGCTTTTCGTATGACTATAAAAGGAGAATCAAGACTCAAGAGAGTATGGCAAGACATTCCATGTCTCGGTCCCAGAGAGCCGAGAACACATCCTTGTTCAAAGACCTAACTAGGTAAATAGTCGTCATGAAATACGGAAGCATTTATTTAGCATTAAATCTTTATATTTAAACCCTCTAAATATCTTGAAGGTTGTTTATACGCAGCTTACGCAAATGGTGTGATCACCTCACTACCCAAGTATTCATCGGCCACGATGGGTTCAAGGTAGAAAAATAAGAAAGCAAATTCAATCAGAGAAAACATAGGAAAATATTTTTTAAATACCTATCGTACACATATGTAGTTGTGAAAGGGTGAAAGTGTATAGAGTATTGTACCTGGCAGCCACTGTGGCTGGTGTTCGGCCCCTAACACGGCCCCGACCCAGGTAACGGAGCTCTCAACTCTCATTCTCCACTGTGTTCATACTCGAGCTCGACACTCCACGCCTTCGATCTATATTGTACTACCTTGTAACCTCCCTCTCCGAAAGAACCTCCCGATCAACTCCACAATCACCCTCCCATAACACGCCATCGCTGATTTGGTCTCGTCTCCACCAAAGCTACATAACGGGGAGCAATGGTCATTCGGAGATCTCGCTTATGAGCTCAATGGCTGAGGGCAGTGAGGATTGGTCGCGCGAGGACGAGCTTGACCTGGGCCAGGCAGACGATCCTCAACAACCCGACCATGGCGCCCTCGACCAAACATTACCTTCCCCGCAGGCACCAGCGGAAGAGGAATTAGACACGATAGACGATACGGAGGACCACGATTCCGAGAAGACAGTGGGACAGAATGATTTCAAATTCCCAGAAACCCCTCCGCCGCGACATGCAGACTGGACCGCGACAGGGAGCGTGGATGGAACAGGGTCAAACCCCGACGATTCCCCATCGCTACATGTTAGTGGTACGATTGGCGCATAACCTGGATAGATAGCTGATTGATCACAGGGCTCTATTCCATCCTCCCTGAGTAGCAGTGCTCTCGCGCTCCGCGGATCTCCGCGAGTCAGCCCGAGCCCGGCCCGTCGCCCCTTTGACCTTCGCTTCCAGTCCCGATTATCCTCATCGCCGCAAAGTGTGTCTAGAGCCGGCTCGCCATTCCTAGCGCATCTCCACTCCCGGCAATCTTCGATAACCAGCCAGGTTTCCTATACCCCAGAGACAGAAGCCGAACCGGTCCAGGGGCCCTGGGATGTGGTGCGATGGACAAAGCTGCGGAAGATCACTGGGCAGGCATTTTCCGAAATCGGGAAGCGCAATTTCGGACGGCCGACTTGCCTTGCAGTCTCCACGTCTATTGTGATAGGTACATCCAAGGGTATCATTCTCGTGTTCGATTATCAGCAAAGCTTGAAGACTATTATTGGAACGGGCACACCAGGTTCGTCAAAAGATGTACACACCCTCTGTCCCATTGTACTGATGATCATCTAGCCGTTGAATGCGGTGCTGTTACATCTCTAGCACTTTCCGCAGACCATACTACGGTTGCCGGGGGGCATGACTCGGGCGATATCTTCACCTGGGAGATTTCGCGCTCAGCAAAGCCTTTCCTTCATATTCCGCCAATTCCGGCCAATCAAGTCGAGACTCGAATATCTGATGGCCATCTTTCAGGATCCGCGGTCATTCATATCGGGTTTCTTGGCACCAGACGAACCGCGCTGGTCTCGGCTGACACACGGGGCATGTCATTCTCACACCTAGCAACAAGAGGAATGGGTGCAGTGGGGCGAACAGTCAAGACGACTCGAATCCTCGGTCGATATCCCCAGGCAACGACAGAGACCAAGCGGCGGAAGCCTAGCTCTGTTCTTGCTTTCTCTGCTCTGCCACTCGGCAACGTAGAGCAATCCACTGATTCTTTAGGTCTCGTTGCTATGTTGACCCCCTATCTTCTTGTTATTGTGTCCACCACACCAGTGGCACAAACCCAACACAAAGCGCCAAGACCTAAAGAAGTTCCCGCTCATAGTGCTATGACTGGCGCCTTGGCATGGTTTCCAGCCATTCGACTGAAGGGCAAAGACACCCAAACTTCAAACACGAAGCTTGTCTACTGCTGGTCAAATGTTTTGACCGTGCTTGAAGTCTCAGAGGCCGAGTCAGACGAACCTGCAGACAAAGACAAGCCTCCCAGCCTTGTCTTCAGAGCGCGGAGCAGATGGAGAGCAGATGAAGCTATTGTGGCGGTTCAGTGGCTCAGTCGTTCGGTACTAGCTGTGTTTACAATAACGCAGCGGCTTCTGATCATCGAGGATTATTCTATGCATGTGACCGACTCGGTCGATCTCGCCAATAGACACATATATCACACCGATCTCTTCTCGTCACAGCTTCATTCACTAGTTGAACAGCTTGACGAAGAGGACGACTCTATGCACGGAGTAGTAGCAGATGCATTCCATATGAGTTTTCGTTCTTATAAGGGGCGCTTGTTCTTGCTTGGTTATAACGAAGCCTTGGTAGGCAATCTATCAAATTGGGCTGATCGCTTGCTGGCGCTTATGGAGGCCGGTGATTTCATTGGGGCCATTCGACTAGCCACTTCCTACTATACGGGGGAGTCGGAAAAGCTGACGGTTGGGCTTCCGGAAGAGGATGTTTTGAGACAGCCCATTGTGCAAGAAAAGCTTTTGGAAATGATCTCCGCATCCCTCAAATATGCTTTTGGTCGAAACTCCGAAGCAAGCAACGGCCGACTTGAGAACCAGCAGCTGGAGGAGCTAGCAGAAGTTTCTATCGCGGCTTGTATCCACATGGCCGACGAAGAGTTCCTCTGGGAGGAAGTCTTCAACTGGTACGAGGAGCACGATTCGGCGGGCATTTTCCTGGATGCCCTCGAACCACGCATCGTTGATGGAACTCTGCGATCACTACCTCCGACCGCGGTCAAAGCTTTAATTAACCATTTCATTAGAACTCACTCGGCCGGTCGCTTGGAGGAGATCATCTGTCTGCTTGATACCACCACAATGGACATCGATCAAGTCACAACGCTGTGTAAGCAGCACAATCTTTACGACGCCTTTATATATGTATGGAACCGCTGTTTGATGGATTATGTCGGACCACTGGAAGAGTTACTACAGCTTATTCCTTCTCAACCCGAGCCCTTAGTCAACGGTGACTACGTGATTGAAATGAGACAGCAGAGCAATGCGATGAAAATGTTCCCCTATTTGTCATTTATATTGACGGGTCGCGTCTATCCCACCGGAGATGACATGGATGAGACTGAAGCCACGCGAGCCAAAACAGATTTGTACCAATTCCTCTTCTCAGGCCGTGGGACCGGTACAGTACCTGGAGATACCAACGGGGCAGAGTCCTTCTCTCAACTTCGAGCCATGCTCAAGTTCGATGCTTCCAGCTTCATGAGCATGCTCAACGAGGCATTCGAGGACAGCTTCCTCAATGAGCCTGAGGGCGAGGATGTCTCTACGTCGGGCATGTCGATCAATCGACAATACCTCATCAGCATCTTACTGCAAGTCATGAGCGACGATTTTTTCACGCCTTTTGATACCATCTACCTGGATATGTTTGTTGCGCGCAATCTTCCCAAATACCCCCAGTATATTCTCCTTTCCGGCACGATCCTCCATCAGGTTCTGGTCCGTGTGTGCCAATATCCCGAGCAGGAAATGGCAGACGATTGCGAGTTGAGTGCGGAGTATTTGCTGTCTTTTTACCACCCACCGGACATTCAGACGATGATTGCTCTGTTTAAAGAGGCACGCTTTTTCCGGATTCTCAAGTCGACCTACCGTTCAGAGAAACAATATTCCCTGTTGGTTATGACTTATCTGGAGGATCCGAATGACCGCGATGCCATCTTCACCTGCCTGCATGACTGCCTCCGTCCAGGCTCTGGGCTTGGCAAGAAACAGAGACGCGATGTAGTGGATGTAGTTAAGGAGCATGCACGGGAGATCGCCGAAATTGACGTGACGCACGCTGCACAGACGATGCAAGACCTGGCCCCTGAAACACACTCTACGTTTTTGCGGGCTCTAGAAGATGATCCCCAGAAACAGTATCAGTACTTGCTGATTCTGGTCGAACCGCAGACTCAAACTGCGGACACCCAATCTTCGCCCAGTATTGAGAACTGGATGATTGAGCGCTACGTGCAGCTCTTGTGCAAATACAACCCCTCTCATGTCGCAGACTTTGTCGATAGATTGCGAGTCGGTGACGTCCACCTGAACGAACTGCTTCCGTACATCGAGGAAAGCGGAGCCATCGATGCTGCCGTCATCCTCCTCGCCCGACAGGGCCAAGTCCGCGAGGCCCTTGACCGTCTTGTCGCACACCTAAGCACCCTCGAATCCGGTCTAGTAGGCATCCTCCAGAGCGTGCGCGAGAGCCCCGACTCAGCGACTACCGCCGAGGCAATCGACGACCTGATCGAATCCCTGAACAAGTATGCGGGCGTCGGAACATGGCTCTGCCAGGGCCAAAGTAAGACAGCCAAGCAGTCGCGCACAGGCAGTGCCAACGGCAAACGCAATGCGCCAACCCTCGACCAGCCTCTCGCCTTCGACGAACTCCTCTGGCTCGACCACATTGAAGCCGTGGTCCGCATCGCAAGCAACGTCTTTGCCTTCATACAAGGAGACAACACCCAACTAGCAACCTCCCTCGGCGAAAGCGACCGCCTAACAACCTCCTTCCGCACCCTCGTCCAGCAAGTCTTCACAGCCCTCCTAGCAAGCACAGTAAAAAGCAGCCCGACCACAACCGAAAGAACAGACATGTCCTTCCTCCGCATCCTACGCGCATTCCTCACCCGCGCCGCAAGCTGGTCCCCCTCCCTCCTCGAGCTGCGCGCCGTGCTAGCCTCCATCTTCTCCGCCTACTCCTACGAGAAATCCCTCTTAACCCTCGCAAACGGCATGCTCGACCGCGACCTCTTCATCCACGTCGACGAAGTCTCCCGTCTACGCCAACACGGCTGGCGACCCCGCGGACACGTCTGCGAGATCTGCCGCGGCCGCATCTGGGGGCCCAGCGTCGGCGACGCGCATTGGTCCGCATGGGAAGCGCGACGCGCTGAAGACCATGCCCGCCGCATTGCGAGACGTAATGAGGATAGCTATAACCCGTCTGAGCGCGGGAAGGGCAAGGCTGCTGATGTCGGAGTCGGTCATCCGTCCCGTCTGGATGTGGGTGCTCATGCGCATGTCCACGCTCATCGTGATGGCACTCGTGGTATGCCTGGTGCGAACGCTGACCATGATCACGACCATGACCACATCGACCCCGGAGCTGGATCTAGCACTGCTACAGTTTCAGAGAGTATACCAGAACCCGTTGTCGTTTTCGCCTGTCGACACCTCTACCACCGACGCTGCGTGACGAACGCCATTAGCGCGGGAGCCCGACCTGCTGAAACCGCGTTTCGGCACGACCATTTGCCCGATCTGTTCTGCCCGGTCTGTACATAGTTTCTAAGCGGTGATGATTTTCTTTGTGTCTAGGAATATTCTTTTGTTACTTTTTTTTTTCCTATCTCTTTGCTTTTTCCTACTTTAGGTACTGTTCGGGAGGATCCCTAGATGAGACATGATCGTCTTGCATATAGCCATTTTCCTTTTTCTTTTTTAACTATTTTTTAACTCTTAGCTACTGTAATGTAATGTGATATCCAAACCAGGTTTATCCTTGTCATTGTACATCTTCTTTAATCTTGTACGTCTTCGGTGGGAACAGGTGATATAGTTCTCTTCAGCTGTTCAGTTCATTCTCCAAGACACGCTTGGCATGGTTTGTACTCCCGTGATCGAGGGATTGCTCCGGATTATCATTCGGTCCCACAGGGGTTCGCGGGGAACACTAATATTCTGGACTGTGCGATGGTGATCTTTAGATGGTCTGGTGTTTGTGCTTTTGTGGGTAGTGATCTACAATAGATGGGGTGTGAAGTATTTATTTAGATAAATGTGATAAGATGTGATGGATGTGATGGATGTACCTCGAGATGACACTGTCATTTCAACATCTTCAATATCAGTTTTGGGTATGATCTCCGTGAGAACTGGTTTCACGATCACAATGTGAGGGGTACATGAAACTATGTACTGTCACAGGTATATCTGTATAAGTTGGTACTTGTGTCCAAGTACCTTAAACTGGAGAGATCTGGTGATCGGAAACGGATACCACGAGAGTAGTTCGCCACGTTATATTTCTAACATTCCAGACTCTTTTTCAGCCGAGAAATCGCCTGGATATTTCCAGACAAACAGCCGTGGCCTATCAGCTCTTCGTCCTCTTCTTGCCACATACAAACCTTGAACATTAGCGGTAATCACTCTAATTGGCCTTGGTTACCTTTGGTCCTTTTAATTGAAACGTTAAGGTGTCGGCGCTTGATATATCCGCTTAGAGGTTCATAGTAATTAGAACTACACAGTTATGTTACTATAACTTATATATGGTGTATCTAGTGTATCTAGTGTATCTAGTCTACTTTAAATGATAATATAATGTTAATATGAACACATTCCAGTGTAGACTAGACCAATTGCCAAGATCTAAACACTAAGGCTCGGAGATGTCAGACTCCAGATTATTATGTTTCAACATGCCCCTTTTGCCGCATGTCTTTCCATTGGAGTGTCTGGTGGATGTATCACGTCGTTCCATACTTTTTATTTTCTTTTTAAGGATTTCTTTTTTTCCGTTCGCCATTTTCCCCTGTGGATACATCTCAAGTATAAAATTGACCCTGTCTCCCCATATTTAGACAATATCTAGTCCCTCCTTTGTGCATTATACCCATTGTCCTTCTATTCATCTGTATTCATACCATTCCTATTGTCATTTACCATTTTGGTCAGTATCTGTGGTACTAGACCTTCTCTAGTCTCTAACAGACTCCCTCTCCCCAATCCCTTTTCTTCCTTGACATCCTGCAAAGATCCCAGCATTTAAGCGCAATGCATATTCTCTCAACCCTTCTGCCCACCCTGGGCCTGTTAGCCCATGTTTCTTCCGCAGCATACACCCTGCGCGATGACTATGGTACCTCGGACTCGTTCTTCGACAAGTTCAAATTCTACACCGTATGTCCATTGCGCCCACTTTTCGTCTCATCTGGAATACCCATGCTCATCCAATATATAGGACACCGATCCTACCAATGGCTTCGTGAGCTACGTCGATCGTAACACCGCCTCAGCCAACGGTCTCATCAACACAGGCAACGGCGTCTACATTGGCGTCGACCATTCCAACGCCGCCGCCGCGCCTGGTCGAAAGAGCGTTCGACTGGAGAGTACCGCCACCTACAGACATGGTCTTGTCATACTCGATCTGGCCCATATGCCCGGCAGTGTATGCGGCAGCTGGCCCGCCTTGTAAGAACCCCCAATTCGACCTTATTTCTTTCCTTTTCCTTTCTTATTTAAAAAAATACTAACCCCAACAGCTGGATGCTCGGCACCAACTGGCCCAACAACGGCGAAATTGACATAATCGAAGGCGTAAACGAACAATCCCAAAACCAAATGGCCCTACACACCTCCAACGGCTGCACAATCACCAACACCGGTTTCACAGGAACCCTCGATACAGCAAACTGCTACGTCAACGCCCCAAACCAATCCCCAAACAGCGGCTGCTCAATCCGAAGCGAAAATACCCAGTCCTACGGCACGGGTTTCAACAATGTCGGCGGCGGCGTCTACGCAACTGAATGGACTGGATCCGCTATCTCGATCTGGTTCTTCCCTTCCTACGCCGTGCCAGGCGATATCGCATCTGGAAACCCTAACCCGGCGGGATGGGGCGCGCCCACGGCTCGCTTTGCTGGTGGCTGTGATATTGATTCGCATTTCAATGATCTGCAGATTGTTTTTGATATTACTTTCTGTGGGGACTGGGCAGGCTCGGTTTGGGGTACGTCGAGTTGTGCTGGGAAGGGATCGTGTGTCGATTTCGTGCAGAATAACCCGGCGGCCTTCCAGGAGAGTTATTGGCGGGTGCGTTCGTTGAAGGTTTATCAGGATTGGAGTAGTAGGGCTTCTGAGAGTGGTGCTGGTGAGGAGGGTGGTGCTGTTGAGGCGGGTGGTGCTGGTGAGGAGGGTGGTGCTGGCGAGGAGGGTGGTGCTGGTGAGGAGGGTGGTGCTGGTGAGGAGGGTGGTGCTGGTGAGGAGGGTGGTGCTGGTGAGGAGGGTGGTGCTGGTGAGGAGGGTGGTGCTGGTGAGGAGGGTGGTGCTGGTGAGGAGGGTGGTGCTGGTCAGGAGGGCGGTGCTGAGGTGGGCGCTGAGGGTGAGGTTGGTGTTGAGGGCGAGGTGGGCGCTGGTGCCGGTTGGGATCCCACGGCGTGGCTCCAGCCCCATGGGCCTAGGAAGTCTATGAAGCATCGTCGCGGACATTACCGTGCTGGACATGGTCATGCTTAGATGGTGATTGTGCTGGCTTGATGGATTGTTTTCATTGAGAGCGATATGGGTTCGATCTGTTTTGTATTTCGATTGTGATTTACCCTTTTCTTTTTCGACCTTCTTGATTTCCGTCTGTTAATGGTCTCTTTACTCGGACTCCTTTAGCCTGTGCTAGTCTACGGCTGTGGAGGAATGAGCGCGTTTGATACACTTTATGCTTTATGCTTTACGATGACTTTGTGAATACCCTTTCCATTTCGATGATATGGAATATGAAATGAAAATCAGCAATGATTATGAGCATGGTTGTTGTTGTTTTGTAGATATTTTGTCTAGACTGTAAATGCTGAGTAGATCATCCATGGTAGGTATAACATAGAGTATATGGTAAGATCTTCAGCATCCGTAGATCTAACAAAGATGATACATGGAAATGAATAAGACAAGACAAGAATATATACTTGAATATATGTAACATTGACATTCATATTAACATTAACATTAACTCAGCGCCCAAATCCAAGAACATCACGCTGATCATCCGTAAGCCGACCCCATTCCAGAAGCAACCGAAAGAAATAAATCTCCATATCCTCCTTCCTCAACACCGTACTCGCCCACCTCCGCCCTTCCTCTGCAATCCACTTTCCCTCCCGATTATGCGCCTTCATACGCATCTGGGGATGAGAACTCCCCTCAGACCCGGGAGCAGCCACGCCCGCAAAGTACGCAAGCGTACTCCACAGTCCATGGAGACGAATATCAACGGGAACAAAGTGCAGCCAGGAGGTGACACGGGAGTCGAACCACTGACGAAACAGACCTGTTTTGAGGGGCAGACTGTGGCTGCGCAGGAAGGGGAGGAAGCGACCGCTAAAGCCAGCGCCGTCTAGATCGAAGAGGAAACGGTGGGACCAGTGTGCTTGGAAATCCGCCCAGCCCGCGGTACCCATTTCTGCGGCTTGTTCGGCGCAGTCTTCGCAGCGGACGATTGGGTCGGCGAGATGGACAGCGGTTTGGAGATGGAGGTCTGAGGTTGGGGCGTTGCCGTCCATTATTTCGTAGCGGAAGGAATTTTCGTTTGAGTCTGTTGGGAGGAGGACGGAGACTTGGTTGTTGGTATTGTTGTTTATTAGGTGGGCGAAGCGCTGGCGTGGCATTCCTTTCCACTCGCCAAACCGACTGACGCCTTCTGATGTACTGCCGAGCCAGTAGAGGGAGTTTTCTTTTTGGCTGTATTCTGGATCTGGGTGTTCGTGTGTGGGTTGGTATTTTACCTTGTCGATGTAGTTCCATGGGCTTGGAAAGAGGATGTCGTTGAAGCCGGTGAGAGCGCTTTGGCTGAATACCGGGATGAGTTCTTGTGACACCTTGAAGGAGGCTGGGGAGATTAGGAGACCGTGGAGGAAGGCAAGGTCGGGTTGGTGGCAGATTTCGGAGGCGATGTTGAAATCTAGGGGGAATTGGCCTATGGAATGAGGAGCCACGCATGAGAGACAGATTTCACGACGATTCCAGATTCGCTGAGCGCGCGCTTTCGATGAAGGCGGGCAGACAGCGCTCACATAGGGGTCGAAGACACCTCTCCACGCTCCGTCTGTGAAGACGGTGATGTTGGTCTGATCGGCTGGTTCAATCGGGGCCCAGCCTTCCTCTCGGTTGGTCGACCAAGTCTGCACCATGCGTTCTTCGGGGATCATTGCTTGCATCTCAGTCTGCCGGTTCAACATGGATATTTTCTCCCAGGGAACTGCAACACGTGGTTCATCATTCAGGTTGAACACCAAATCCATATCCGGGAGATATTTGACGAAATTGTCCATCATGTCCGCGGCACCCTTCACCATCCACGCATGGGTCGGTTTGATGCCTTCTTGCACCATGGCTGTGCCGTTGCGAATTTTAATCCCACCGAGATCATTGAAAGGGTTGGTGGCCAGTTCGTGCGTCATTGCGCGGATGTGCTCCGGAGCCAGGGCTCGAAAGGGAAGGAGATTATGGTATATCTGATCGAATTCATCAATGATAGCTGACGATCGGTTAGTGGCATATCGATACCATTCGTCAAAGCCCCTAGAGAAATATTAGTTGGGCTATGCGGCAAACGTGGGTATTTCAAACATACGGTGGTGGATGCTGGTTATATCGCTTCCGGTACTCGGCAACAGCATCTCCAAGAGTCCGGCTCCTAGACGCCTGAGCGAGATAGTTGCCGTGCTGAATTTTGCCGTCGTTGATGAGGAACTCAATCGGGTGTATATCATCAAGACGATGCTTGCTCACTGCGAAAACGAGACTAATCCCACATAGCACGGCGAAAAATATCTGTATGGCAACGTTGGTGCGGTATAATTTCGGCTCTTCGTTATGAACCACTCGCGCAAGAAGAAACAGGAGGGCACCCGTCAAAGACGCAGCCATCGGGAGAACAGCATGCGCTAGGGAGATAAATGGGAAGGGTGACTGTCCTCCGGTGAGGGCCGATAAATAGGAGAAGTATATGATCATGAAACCACCTATAATTGACACCCCAAGGATGTCGAAATGCGGCAACTAACAGAATCAGTACTGACGGAGAAATAAGTATAGAACTAGCAAGACTAACCATATGCCAGGCAGACAAGACCAGTAGTACAACCAACACAGACTGGCTGAAAGCGCCGCGCGAATACTCTAGATCCAACATGGGCTGACCGGCAAGTTCAGGAGAGCTATCTGGTAATGGTACCCAGACTTGTATAACACTCCAGACCAAAGAAATACCCTAGAAAGTCTGTCAGAACAAGTATTCCCATCACGATTGTAGTTATCCACTTACCAAGAGACCAGCTCCCAGGTACGTCAGAGCTCGTTTTCTGCGCGCATCATCGAATTGAGCGCCAATCCGACATAGCTCGGTGATACCGATAAGTATAACGGAATCAGCAAACAGGTTGAAAAGCTTGTATGATCGTAGACGCGATGCGCCATGTAATACAATAGGACAGATATAGGTTGACCGGGTTCCGGCCGAGAACGATGAAGCCAAGAGCCCACCAGCAGACAAAAAGGCAGCTGCAATTAAACCTCTGGGGCGACTTTGCGTGAGATGATAGAAGCTCCGGCGGGAAACAGAGTAGACCACCTGCAGCGGCAGCTCTGTGAATCGTTGGGTAGGGACATATCGGTCCACTTGTCGTGATCGCTGGTTGCGCCAGTAGTCGTAGAGCGAAATAACCAAAGGAATAGCGTACTGGCCAAGACATCGTGTTAGTCGCATGAAAATTGAACGATAACCAAGGTATTCGGCCACTTACAGCGTATCCTGCGGGCGCGCATTCGGTATTACGAGTTACTTGGCGGAACGACTCGATGCGCAAGCCACACAATCCCAACAAGAGACCGATCTTTATCCACCATGACTGAAACCGTAGCCGAGGTCGAGTCTCGACATCGCCCAGTGCGAAAGATGAGGTCGATGTGCGGGAAGGAAGCTCAAATTGCTCTGCGAGAGGGATAATTGGCCGTTTACTTGTTGGCGACAATGGCGATGACCTCAATGTAACAAACCGACTCCATACCAAAAGGGTGATCCCTGTAAGGAAGCAGACCAGGACGGATGTACTGACGGGGCGATCTGTATCGGCGCAAGTCAGATCAAGTTGTAGAACATTGCTATGCACGGCCACGACTCACCAAAAGCGAACGTGGTATTATAGGAGGTAGTAAGGAATAGCGAGCTTAAAAGAAATACCCTGCTCATAGAATGTAATCATGAGCTTAATTTTCCGATGTGAGATAGCTTGCTAGGTACTCACCCCACACATAGCTTCAGCCCGAGATCGGAAGATAACTGGATCATATTGCGCCCAATCTTTTTATAATCACTCTAAAGCCATCGCTGTGATCTCAAGAATAAATCAAATAGTTGAAAGGCAGCAAGACTGAAAGACAGAAGATTAACCTCCTGTGGATCTTCAGGAGATTGACAGTCTTCGAAACATGGAAAAAAAGCAGGGCAGGGAAAGCCAAGAGGGCCCTTTGATAGATTGGTGGCTAATCAGAGGCATCCGGAGTGTTGATCCATTGGATCCATTAGGGTTGCGTCAACGGGCGGGTTACGATGTATTTCATGGCTTTTGCTGCGCACGTAACCACGGACCCCAGGTGGCAGGCATCGCTTGTATTTGTTTGCCAATGAATGGTGGGATATCTCCAGCCACCACGCCCCAATCCGTTAGCTCATGGTGAGCTGATTTTGTCCTGGAGACGTTATATTGCAAAAGATTGTCAGCAAGAAATGCCGAGCCGATCAGCAGCCAGAATCAAGCCTTGGTTAATTTCACGACCCACTTGGGTCCTAGGCGTGATGTTCCTTGTGGGACCTTTCAATGCATATGTAGTATTTTGTACATCATGTCCAGTCATGTAAGGAGAACGGCTCTCCCATACATGTAGACAAGAGAGGTTCATAGCCAAGTACACGCGTCATATAAACCGCGATGTTGTGTCCTATCGGCTCATATCGGCTGTATGTCGTGAAATAAAGATGGCCCGAGCGACCCATGGTTAGCGCCAAAGAGGACACACTCAAATAAATTTTACTAATCCCAAAACAGTTCGTCCATTTACTAATTGGGTGGGTTTACGTCACCTATAGTCATGTGATCTGACCAGGGTCCAGGCGTCGACTATTTTGCCCAATAAAAAGCAACTGCTGCTAGTCCATTTCGAGCCTTCACGATAAAATAAAGTAGCTCACGTGACTTGCCTTCCACCAAGGGGACAGGGGCATACCGCCTACTTGTTTGGGCTGATAGTGGCAGAACCAGTCATGTGATTAAGGACTTATGTAATTGGGATAGAAGGCCTTGGGCGGTGTATTATTGCCTTTGGCGGTGTCAGATAGCAGTATCATTTTTTTCTAACCGCTGGGAAGTTTTTCGGTCGCAAGACGAAGCCAAGTGTTTTTTCCAAACAACACTAATCCGGAATCGCCATGCCACGCAAGGCGATTGACTCGCGGATTCCCGCTCTTA